CAAACCCAACACTCGGAGCTACACTCACAATCACATGCATACCCGACACACCACCACCAAACCTCAAGTTTATGTTTACAGAAAAATGTGATTAACCCTTTGACCACCGCCATCGTTTATAAATGTCAGGAGCCTTTTTTTCGTGTGAACTAAAGTAACCATTGATAATGAATATTTTTTCGATATATTTGCATAAAAACAAACACTAGACACTACGCACTTTCCAAATCACCATTTTACTAAGGTACGTTATAGAATCGTTCCATAAAAAATGAACTAATTTTTTGCACAATTGTTTCTTCCTTCTCTTAAGTCTGTAACCAAAGGGTTAAATATTTCATACTATCAAGACTGGTTTCAAGCATAGTAATGCATCTCAAACAAACCTGTCTTATGTTTTTTGAAAATATTATCAGGGCGTATATCAATTTCATTTAGGAATATCTTTACACAAAACGAGACGCTTTCATCCTTCTAAACGTCGACAAGCCAGAATATGTAAGGACACGAAGCAATGCCGCTTCGTATATTGTTCTCAAGAAAAGCTTCATCAGTACGAATTTTATTGCTGAATGGTTGACATATGCACAAGATAGTCGGATTATTACAGACGATCCCAACGTACTCGGTGCACCAAATTATGATGGTTTTCGTGATAATCGTCACGATCAGACTATATTGAGCCTTCTAGCCAAAAAGTGGCATCTAAGAATATATCCAGATCCATGCCAGTACGGCAACGGACAACAACGACCATATCCTACTATCTTCGACCACCATCGAGTGTTAGTTTAACTGCTCTTCTCGTTCAATAATCGATGTTATAAATAATGATTATGAGCATAAACAGTATTAACTTATTATATGATTACTCTGAACAATACCTCGATGATGCGCTTAACTCTAGACTTTTGACAGCTCATAGTTCTATTAGCCTCTTCTTTTTCGAGAACTGGACCTACTAGCCATTTTTTGAGCGATGAGCCCGATGGCTCGCTCGTTTCATTTGAACTGATTTTAACAATTACATGGCAACTTAGAGCATGGATTCAGTACTTCTTCCAGTTGTCACGCCGCTCGGTGCAGTCTGTGCGTGTGGTGGTGGATGTCAGAGCGAGTGTGTGTGAATCTGTAGGCTGGGTGTGTCTGGGTGTGAGTGTAAGTCCGGGGAGTATGAGTATGGTTGTGGGCATGGGGTGTCAGTGTAGGATGTGGGTGTAAATCAATTGTGAAACAGATCAAATTCTATGTCTAAGATACAAATCAATCTGCTGATCTCAACTTTTGGGTGTGTGTGGGGTGTGGGAGTGGGTGTGGGTGTGAGTGGGTGTGGGTGGGTGTGGCTCTAGCTGTGGGTGGGTGTGGCTGTGGGTGCGGGTATGGGTATGGGTGGGGTGTGGGTGGCGTGTGGGTGGCGTGTGGGTGTGGGTGTGAGCAAAGAGAGGAATGACACCAACAGCCACTGCCACACTCCACCCACACCCACACCCTAAAACAACATTTTAATGACAAACTATCGTTGAAATGGAGTTTTAACGTAATATTAACGCGTTTCTTTTAGAGGTCTCGCTTCCCCGAACTGTAAGGTATTTACTTCTTTTTTTGTTTTTTACTCTTTATTGCGTATTCGTATTATATTAGTGACCGAGCCAGAGTATTTTTCTCTTGCATTCTCCGCTGTATGTCGTAGGCAACTGTACTATAAAAATCTCATACAATGCATGTGTTTCAGGAAAGAGTATTTTTGCACAATGGACAATCGAACCATTGCATGTTCAATAAATGTTTGTCAAAATAATGGCAAATGCTTTCTTTTAGACAACGGTACAACAATATCACCATATTGTTTGTGTAATAGATGTTTTGTAGGTAGTCGATGTGAAATTGAACAATATTCAAAAAATCTTTGGATCTATGGTACATCAAAAGAAAATAGAAAATATTATAATCCATATAATGAAACACTTATACTTAGTTTACTTGGTATAGTATCATTCATAAACAATCTATTATCATTACAAACTTTTTTATTTTCGAAAAAAATTCGTATAACAAATCTTGGGATATATTTAATCTTATTTTCATTAACTGGTTTAATTGTTAGTATTATACAAATTGTATTTGCATTTATGAATTTAACTTTCAATTTTAAAGAACTGCCAGAATTAAATCATTTGATACAGTGTGCATTTATACGAATATTTCAAAATTCATTAAGTTTCTGTCTCTATTGGTTTTGCTTATATATTGCTATTGAACGTGTTCTTATTGAATATTCATTTGTTAGTCTTTATGATTCAAGACGACGTTCATTTGTTTCTTCAAGATCACTCTTTATATTAGTACCATTAACAAATCTATTTCCAATTTTATTTGGTCGAAAAAGCTATAAATATAATTTATATAATTTTTGTTTATTAAACTTTACATCAATTGGTTATACATTCTATTTAATATTCGATTATTTTAACCATATAGGTGTACCACTTTCATTCGCAATTGCATGTGGAGTTATTTTTAAGCATCTCATTAAACATCGTTGC